ACAAGAATTCACCAATAGCTTCCTACGGTACCAATGTCGGTGTAGAGGGCTTAGACGAAACTAATGAATCCGGCCTGTAGAAATTGTCAATCTGACCTTATCAGTTATACTGTTACAATTAGATTGACACTTTGTATCATAATACCTCAAACCATGAATATTAATAATACATTAGTAGGCATGGAGACCTGTTATCGTTTAATAATCTTCTGTTTTGTGATGATTACGAAGGTATGGTTTAAAGAAGCTTAGTCATTTAAAGTGCCTCTTTAAAAGCTTTAGTCTGTAAGCTTACAACAACATTGAAAATTCGTGAATGGATCCGGATGTCTGCCAGAATGAATATAAACTCCTTGATTTTAATCTCCAAGCAGATCTTTTGGTGGCTGCAAAGACAGCATAAAATTGGCCAGGCAGTACACAACACTGCAGTTACCATTAGCCACCAAAAGTTTGTTATGATACTAGTATAACACAAAACAAGACTGGCAATAAAAAACATACATTGACATGGCGACGGTATTTGTTGATAGGGTAAATGTATGATGATTTTGTGGAAGCCTTTGTGGTCTTTCATGGCTTTGTTAAAAATAACATTTGAGGTCGCAAGTCTCTGGGAGAACTTTTCCTGCTTTCTGTAAGACCCGGGGTCACAGAATTAGTGCATCCTCTGCTTGGAGAGTATCTTTCTTGAACGTTAAAATAAGAAAAAAACGATGAAACATAAGGGAAGAATTGAAAGCAACTTGGCAGGTATAATATAGGTTTAGATACGGAGGCTACGAAGTATTTCATACGAAGAATACATGCTAGTGTGTACCTTTAGAAATTGTCTCTTGAATATTTTATTTGGTCACTTAAAGGTGTGATTCAACCATTGATTTGGTGATAACAAAGACACATTATTGTCCTTTGCGATACGTTTCAATAAAATAGACAAAGACAGGATTTGTACGAGCCAGGGTAAGGATGACAGAGCTTTCTAGTTGTTCAAGATTTTTTGTATGTTTGTTGTGGTAATAGTGTTATGCGAAGCTAGTGTGTTAGAGAATTTGACACTATTCTTCCTGGTGCCCACTGCATTACAAAAAGTACAGAAAAACAGGCTTTATAACTTTAACATCATATCGAAAAATCCCACTGCAACAAAATTCCGACATCCCTGGCGCTATTGACTTCCCATAATGCCTAGTGCTGGTCACGGCGCCATGACAGTTCTCAGTGCATCATGGGTAAGTGACTATCGAAGTAACCGCAACCTAACGCTAAAATTCAACTGGATATTCATCATTTTGGAGACTGTGACCTACATAGGCTCGCAAATAACGTTGCTTAACATATGTGACCAAGACTAATAGCTTTGCCAAAGGAAAGAAGAAGAAGAACTGGATATCTACTGAAATTTCATCATGTCACTGATTTTTGGAGTCTATCCGCTTCTTACGTCATATCCGTGACCAGCACTAGGCATTATGGGAAGTGTGAAAATGATGAATGAATCCTGGGAATGGAAAAGGGTGAATTATCTGAAAAAAAAAGGCTCGGGCTAGTAATCAACCATTATATCAATCAATCAAATACACACTTACTGTGGAACAGATATTTATTATCCTTCATAGACTCATAATTACATGGTGTCGACATTAGTAACAAAAATCTCCATGTTGTAGAACGAGGGTCACGTTTTTTTTCTAACAGGTAAAGAACCGACTGTACAGTGTTTTGCCTCTGTCTTAGCCTGGATGCCAGACTGTTTCCAGGGCCTGCAAGGACTGGTTCCTCCAGGCACGCCGGCTATTGAATATTTGGCCATGCAAGCGCGTTGTGGGTCTGGCATCCAGGCTAGCTCTGTCTGTGCTTATGGCGTCTGTTATGAGTGACTGGCAAGCCACTTGTAGATTGGTAGATTGGACCATACTGATTTGATTATTTTCATACGATTATATGGCTGACATCGTCCTAGCACCCCATAACTGATGCGAGCATGAAAATAAAAAAAAAAGGTGGGCAAAAAACTGCCTTCATTTTGAAATCTACGTGTTCAGAATGACTAAACACACAATATGGCATAGCAAACAATGAATTCTTAATTTTGCTCATCTTCTTTGACTTTGGAAGACTTGGTGGTGCAAGCTAGTGAAGCCCGCTTCCCTTCTTCTGGTATCTTATTTTTGTTTGACCTCTGACATTTTTCAAGTACCCCCAAAACAGTATGATCGCAAACTTCCTTTAAATCCATATTTCATATTGTACAAAAATTGATGCTCACATGGATGTCATCATTACAATCAAGTCATTATGGCCTTGTATACAAAACGTTGTTTTTGTGATTTTTTTTCTAAACTTGCATTCCTTCTACATACAAATAACAGCGTAATAAGTGTTAGTTTTCACTGAAGATTTACAGCATTTTGTTGAAGAATTCCTTGAACATTTTACACTGTTTAAAACCAGTATTAGATTTTAAATAGAGCTAGATCACACGATCTTACATACTGACGTGAGTCAATTTCAAAAGTCAGTCAATTTCATTTAACAATTTAGTTACACATGATGCCATAGCAGCAAAACGACGCAAGTATCATGGTTTATAATTAAATTTAAACTGTTCTCTAACTCAAAAAGAACTTGACCTACCGGAATTTTTTACCTAATATCTCAGTCTTCATTGACTTTTTGACAGGGGGAGGGCGGTACCGACTTCCGATGAACTTTGACCCTGTGCTGACGTCACACGTGCGGAAAAGTCACGTGTCTACAGCTCTTGGGTCAGATAGATGACGAAGACCGAGAGATTCGGTTGAAAATTCCGGTATTCTTTTTCAGTTGGAGAATAGTTTAATTTTCAGGATTTTCATGTAATTTACCAACTCAGATGAACTCTCATGCTAACACCATAGTTCATTGGATACAAACGTAGCTGAGACAAGTTTTGACGGTTAACATCACACTGTCGGATACGAAGTCTTTCTAACGTAGCCATGTCACTACAGCCATACGATTAGTAGGTAGAAAATCCGTGTGCAAGTTGTGATCTACAGATCGCGTGATCCAAACAGTACATTTGGCACTTTAAAACCACTAAACATCAAGATATACAACTACTTGACCAACAACAACCACTTGACACTTATTAGTATAAAATATGGATATTCCTTAGAGTAAAAAGAGTCTTGCTTATGTACACACTGGCTGGTTTAGAAACGTTATTGTTTACCTATAGCTACACTTTAGCTTCGGTTTGCTCGAATTAGACAGTAAAAAGTTCCACATCCATGATTGGGTGCCTACTGGATAGAGAATAGAAAACGCACATAGAACGTGGGACTACATCATCTGTTATTCACATTCACAGATCTGTTTGGTGAAAGTACTCATTCATTCAGCAAATTCCTATATCGTAGGATTGGTCAAACCCCTTAATTGCAATTACATGGCTTAAAATACCTCCTAGCACAATTTTCTGAAGTGATATCCACTGCTAAACCTATAAGGTATCACAGTCTTCAAGAAGAAAAGCTTGTTCTGTACATCGATCCCTTCCTCGGCATCATTTTCTGTCAAATTTTACACGTGTTTAGTTTCTGGGGTTCATACATATATCGCTAGACGGCGCTATGACACCGCTGTGTTTAGCTTCGAACATCAAATCCTGGCACCGTATACTCGATTTACAAGAGAGCGCCCTCATTCGAGCCTGGGTGAACAACAGAGCATGCTACTGCAAAAATTCATGAAGAAAAAAGTAAAATGACACCAATTTTTTTTCATCGGCACAAAGTGGTATTTCACTTTACGCCATTCACGTTTGTCAGGTAGTAAAAAATTGCCGGTTTTCAGTAAGTGGTAGATTTCCGGTACGAAATCACCTTAGTGATATAAAAGATCACAGAAAAATCACAACACCTACTTTTTTTAGCGTTTGAATAACTATTAAATAACTTATTACGTTAGATAAATTCCGCTGCAGTTTTGTGCAGGAGTCCATGGTTTTGGCACACAAACCTCGAGCTCCTTTACATGACCTATGGCCAAACCATTCGTCTAAACAAGCTCAAATATCTAGTTTGTATATCAAAATTCCACGAACATTGGTCAAACGCCGTCATTTTCTTAAAATCTACATCAATGTTTTCGCTTGTTTCCCTGTCTATTCTCCTAGCTGTATGTCCATCGTGGGGTGGCTGCCTATCAAATCGATTCTAAGAGAGGAATAAACAACGTCCAACACGTAGGACTTTCTCCACATGCTTGGGTAGCCTTGCTACGTGCCTGGTGATTGGGTAAGCCATGAAAATCTATTTAATATCTACATCTCGCATTGCAAGGATGAAATGATAAAAATACCCCTCTTTGTGGTTTCACCTATGACGTGTTTTACCAATGACCTCTTTATTTTTTATTAGTGACGTCTGGTGCCTGTTGCATTCCAAAACGTGTTATTCCCAAAACGTATTTTGGAATGGACCACATTTTGGAATGCAACAGGCATTCCACCTGAATCCATCTTATGCCTGTCAAATAAACCTAGTCTCTGTCTATCTGTCTGTCTGCCTGTCTGCCTGTCTGTCTGTTTGTGCACGTATATGTTTAGATTTAGGTTTAGGTTTAGGTTGGAGCAAAACATATGATTACGAAACTCACATTTTGGAATGGAATTCCATTTTGTATTACAGAGTTAAACATATTTTTGAATGGACCATGTTTTGGCATACGCATGCATCCCGTTTCGTAGTATCACAAACCATGCTTTGGAATGCAACAGTATCAATACAACTACTATTTTTATGATCCGTAAATATTCAGATATATGGTGCTGCTAACTACCATATTCCACCGATAGACAGTCAATTTAACGAAAGTAGTCCTGGGGATGTTTGTTATTCCTGAAGACAGAGGTCACTGGTAAAAACTTAATCAGAAGCCATGAAGGTGATACTGCAAAGAAGATTGAGAGAATGGACTTTGAGGTTAAATGGCGAAAACAAAATTCAGACTGAAACACATACGCAAATGTAGGTCTAACTACCAGGCCAGTAAAAATGAGAAAACCATTTGAAAACCAGCGGTTTTAGTCGTGCTACTTGGAAACAGTGCTAGGAGGGTAGTCAGGGGGTGTAGACTGATGACGGGGGTACCCCGGAGAACCCCCCGGTGGCTCAGGGGGGTACATGCTGGGATGCCCTCCGTGGTCAGGGTACGTCTGTGGGGGGTCGTCATTCGGGGGGTAGTCGTCGGGGACGTGTTTGTCGCCCTGTGGGGGGAAGTCGTGAGGGACGTTAAGGGGGACGTTAGGAGGGGGGTACTCCTTGTTGACCAGCCCCTCCTGTGAGGAGAAGCCCGGGACCTCCGGTGCCTGAGGCGGCAGGGGTCTCTGAGGGACAGACGGCGACCCCGCCACGGTGTAGTTAGGCGGCTGGTTCGGGTTGTTACCCTGGGACGGGCTTGAGCTGTACGACGAGTACATGGGCTGAGTCAGCTTGATCGGCTGCAGGGGGTATCCCTGGGACCCCCCTGACTGGGAGGGGGTAAGGTAGGCGATGTTCTGTTTGCTTTGGCTCTCCGGATCGTTTGGTCCAGGCATCTCTCCATAGTCATCCTTCCCTGCTTTTCTCCTGAAAAGACAATAGAACATCTCAAACGCCTGTCTTTTGTTGTGCAAATGAAGACTGGAGTTCTATCATAAAAGTTTATCTGACAGTGTGTCGGCAGTTACATGTTTATAGGTCGATGTCACACACATTTACATGAAGTCACTTGGACATTCTGATTCGCTGGGCACTGTAAGAATGCTGGATACCGAACAAGACTACTTCCTGAGAGGGGTGAAAGAGACTATTTACATCAGGGCCCATCACCCTTCACTTAACCGTGACGACGTCGTCTACCAGATACCTTTGACCTAGTCTTGACGTCACACTTCAGAGAAACCACGTGACAAGTCGCACTGGGTCAGTCTATGTCAGTCTATTGAAGAATACCAGAGTGACTGGTTGAAAGCTCTTTTGTGTTGGAGCAAACGTTTTCCTTTAAACATGGACAAAGGTCTGTTGTTGCAATCTTTACCAGTTTTCTACATCTTTCCAGACTACCATCGACTGTACTTCTGTCGTTTGTAGTCTGTGATGTGGGATTGTGTGGCGTAACGACAGAGCTTTCGGCTCGGAACCAAGAGGTCCCGGGTTTGAATTCCGCCCTTTGGACTCATCTCTCTTCGCTCAGATGAAAATGAGTATGCCAGAATGATCATTATCATGACCGTGGGCATAAAAGAAAAACCAAACCAACCTGCGCACACACCAGACGATGAGAATGATGAGGAACAGGAAGGTGACGGCGATGCAGACACTGACCACGATCACGGCATAATAACCTAACAACAGCAGCACGCCGTTGAACCTGACGGTAAAGGCTGCAAGGGAAGAGAAACTTCAATTAGTAGTTATTATGTAAACCTTCGCAGAAGGAAAACATATTCTTTTTGCTCTGTTTCTTCTTTTTCCTTCTCTTCTCCTTCTCCGAAAAATTAAGGTCAATGACCTGGACCAGACGTCTGTCACCATGGTAACTGGTGCTGTTGCAGACATCCTGGGTTACATTATATAGTAAGTCGACAGAGTTAAAAGGAAGGGCTGCGTCCAAACTAAACATTATTCCACCACAAGGGTTACACAGAGATCAAATTTTCAGCGACCACTGTCGCCTTCATCAGAATAATTAATGACCAATCACTTTCGAACGTAAACCTGCGAGAGTTACAGTTACAGACATGTGACCTTATCTACATGAAACCTTCAGGATGGGTATAAACTCCCTGGCACGTTTGATCAACTGCTAGCGTCACGTATTTGTCTCGTTTTATTCTTGGAGCTTTTGATAAAGCCCAAAATACAAGCTGAGGAATTTCTTTATTTTTGGTACCATCAGTAAATAGCAAGAACCTGCCTAAAATACAAAAGAAGCAATCTTAAGCATTTTTGCCTCACGGATAACAGTATATGGTTACTGTCGTCAAATATATTTGGATGCCTTCAAAGAGAGCGTTCATTCAATGATGTATGATCTACAAAAACAATCAACTATGACTTTTAAGTTCAGTAGTTTAAAAACTACTGGAGCCCTGAACGATCATTATTCAAAAGTTTCAACATTGACACCGCCGTCAAGTCTAATCCTACCCGTATCGACGGACCAAAAGCGAAATCCTTCAAATCTTTCTTAAGATTGAAAATGGGTTTACGTGAAGAAAGCCTAGGCGCCAGGTATCATCTCGTCTTCTATATCCTCTACCCCAGGGGCGTCCGTTACTGAGGGTTTCCTTAGAATATCGACCGGGCTTTCGACTTTATCGATTGAAGAAAACCACCGCTGCACTGAAGGTTAAGCTTAACGCCGTAGATTGGATTGGAGAATGAATTGTTTTGTTCGTCAGATCGTTTCCAGGAGGGAGCCATAAAAGGTTATCAATCATTGGCCGTTCCCTTGGCAACGCTGCATCTTATCAAAGTAACCAGTCGGCCTATCTCACTACTGGTAAAAAGATCGGAAATCCGGAAACCGGCCCTATCATAGGCTTGTCTCTCATTGGCCACTGCACCGAAGATAGTGATTCCGGGGGGCCATTCTTATTAAGGGTAGCCAGTCATTGACAACGTCTGAGGAAATTGGAAATACAGAGAACGGCTTTTGGCAGGGACATTAGGCCATGGCCACTGCGTGGCAAATGTTTTCCCAACGACATGTGTTATTATGCGGCCACTCACTGGTGACCACTGTCTGGAACTTGACCGCTATCAGACTTTGACCAACGTACAGCAATTATTGCACGACCAATTCAGTCAATCGGTTCTCGGATTTGCCTGTTTCTTTGTTTCTGACTGATTTGAAAAGTACTTTACCTGACCACCAACCAAGATTGGCTGAAGCTCGAGAGCAGTTTTGTCTGTTTATCCTAAATCTACCTGGCTTTCTGTACGTCTTGAATCGAATATGAGTTAAATTTGAGTTAAATTTGACCCCAAACACACCCTTACTGGCCAAACTACGCCGACTACCAGCGAACAATGGCCAACCATCCTGGATCCTGTCTACATCCGAATGTTTTAAACATTACTTTGAAATAATGACCCAGCCGAACAGTACCCAAACCTAGCCTCCTGTGCAGGCTCTGGGGCGGGTGGGAATTTTGATACAGCGTTTTGAAGAGTATTTAACACGTTATTCAAATAGCCGACCATCCCACAACCAGCCGCCGAGAAAAGGTTCTATTCCACCCACGCGGCTGGTTGTAGGATGACCGGCTGTTAAAAATAACGCGTTATAAACTCTTCAAAACTCTGTATCAAAATTCCCACCCGCCCCAGAGCCTGTACAGGAGGCTAACCCAAAGCTGGCCGATTCACACCAGCCAACCACCGCCTGGTTTGGCAGTGTTCGTGAGGCCACATTCGGCTATGTGTGACAGGTTCTTAATTTTCTGAAAGCAGTGAACCACGAACTCACGGGCCCGGTTGGTTATCAAAGGGTAGACGCATCCACAATTGATCAAAATGGCATCAGGTTTTATCAGGAGAAGCCAGTTATTGGCCTCTGTACAAAAATTGCAACCCGGAGGCTCATATCGCAAGAGGGATATCTAACTATTGACCAGTACCCGTAAAATGTCAAAAGTGCGTCGATCCAGACATTGGCTTTTAAAGTACCATCAGTCATTAATGATTATCCAGGTAAAGGTGACTACCAAAGCCAGGCTTGAGATGTGGCACCTCCTGCCTAGTGGATAATCCCAGACATCTGACTTTCACAGGGAAACGTACGTTAACAAAAAGCACCCATGGGCAAGTGAAGAAAATTACATTGAATTAAAAGTTTGATGACAGTTATAATAAAACAGTGTCAAATATTTATTTGAGTGTGTGTTGTGGAATGTGTTATCTTGAAAGTCCATCTGTGTTTGCAGAAGTCATCATGAAACAAGTTTGAACCGCACAAAAGAGGCCATCTACATCAGGGCATTACGAACATCCCTTAATAGTGACGGGGGGCGCCACAGACTTCATACAACCTATGATCTTCTGCTCACGGAGTCACGTGTGTTATCTGTGTGACGTCATGGAAGCGGTGGATTGCTCATTCCTTGAAAAAGACTGAAGTAGAACAGTCGAAAATTTGGGTGAGTCTAATTTTTTGTGTTGGCAATTGCAGTTCAAATTTGTTTCATCAGTGTGGAATGTGTGTTGCAATGGATGCTGGGATGGGTCCATATTCTCCTCTGTATTGACTGCATCGCGACCAATAAACCCGCAGTCGTCACGTTGAAGGTCAGGTAATGAAAAATATCGACAGACTCCCAGCCGCTAGTAACGATCTCATGTCCACCAGATCCAATATTCTCTCACTGATGGATCCAGGGCATTCACCAAGGATGGTTTATAACCTTGAAATCATTCTCCCGGGGCGACACACAGCTCTGTCTACGGGATTAAACACAATTGCCCCTCGGCTAGATGAGTTGTCAATAGCTAACAGCGCTTTTGTGGACCCCTTAGCAAGCAAGAACGATTTTAAAGATAACAGCCTCCACGCTATGAAAAATTACTTTCCGAACTCAGCGTCAATAAGGTTGCTCAGTGAGCAATAGTTTCGCGCTTTAGGCTATCGGACTTTGAGTCAGAAGATTCTTTACACTTGATCTGTTGAACGTATTGAGATCGGATGGTCCGAATTGCAGGGCAGATACCGCCATTACGTTTGGCCATTGAAGGCCGTAGTTAAATACACTGAAACAAGGCCTATTAAAAGTACTTTCCTGCATTTCAATCTGAAATATACGAAGAAAACAGGGTATTGACCGGCTCAAACTCCGAGAACAGCTGACAACAGCCTTTGACCTTATTTTATCTTGTATCCATCCATGCAAGACCTAATCACTGGATCAGTTCTAGTCACTACGCCCACGAAACTGGTAAAATGAACAAAACTTGACCAAAGTAGGAAAGTTTATTGGACCCGACCTGTTCCTTGTTACCTTAAAGTATCCAAACTGGACTAATATTCTGAAAAAAAGGACTTTTAAAGAAGGGATCGGACTAGAATTGTGCTCCAATTTTGGGCCTTCACTGCACAACGCATTAGTGAAGTGATTTTGGGCCCCCTTGCAGCTTGTTCTGGAACGACACTTGCATTTGTTTAGAAAATCTTTTAAGGAGGATAACTCAAGAATCGGTTGAGGGATCGTCGTGATTTTGGTGTAACTGAGGCGAAGCTTGTCATTATTGAATGGCAATTATGCAAATCATGATCTAATTTGCATAATCGACGCGGGAATTCTACAAATCTGCCGTGTTTCATGTTCAAAAAGGCTAACACCATTAGGTGAAGGTATGAGCTCGTGAAACTCCAGTAAAACATGTAAAAATGATCTGCATAATATGAACAACAGTGTCGCGACAGATCCAGTAAAGCTTCCCCCCAAAATCACTGACCTTTCTTAACCTCTTCTACTCCGAAGTACCGCAGAGGGAATGTAGCAGTTTTACTACGAACGACCTTTCAAATCCCGTGTGTGATGCGTTAACTATTTCCATTGAATTTAACAACCGCCCGGGGTCGTTACACGTTCGAGTCGTGTATTGACGTTGGTGAGGGGAATATGCATGTCAAGATCAATATCAAACGGCTATGCAGACGTTAAAACAACCTCCCACTTAAGGTCTTGTAGCATACTTAATAATACTTAATAACGCTGAAACACTTCCAAAACGAAAATTTGTATGTGTCTGGACCATCGTCTGATGAGGCCCAGTAGACCGATCTTATAGCTCCACCCACCCCGAAAACATAAAAATGCAAGCATTTGATGAACGTGTAGCCACTCTCTCATTGGTCGAGCCGTTAATTGTCATTCTCTCATTGGTTGAACTGATAATTGTGATGGACAGTCAGGAATCTGTACTGTTGACCCGGTGGTTGGAGAAGCACTTTGCAGGGCTTAGAAGGAACATGTAAGGTGGCCCTGAAATGGGCATGCTCGGGCAGCCTGGCTATTAGAATGACCCCTTGAGAAAACTTGCGTTGGTTAAACACCTCGTAGGATTGGGGCTAAGCATGTCGAGTTGGCCTGAGAGCTAGTTATCAATCAGAACATGGAACAAGCATTACCCAAGGTTTGGAAATTTCTTTGGAAAGCAAGCAATTATTTTAACTATTCGCTTGTGGTTGTTTTCATGATTGATAATCCCAATGTCGTTCTATCACACTTGCTAATCCTAAGGTCATGATTCCCCAGCTTGGGGCCCGGACAAAAAAAATATAACAAAAAAAAAACTATTTATAAGTATAATTTGCGTATGACAATATCAGGTGTCCATGCGGAACTTATCATGGGTCTTATAACACGACTGTGCATGCATA